ATGACTCATGATTTCTTCAGTCAGTCTCAGCTAAAGTTCACAGTTTAATGCTATAATGTTTGTAAGTTTGCCTTTACAGTATTATTAACGGTTCTTTTTTTTTATATTGAACTCAGTTTCTCACAGCAGCAGCTGTAAACAGGGTGTTTTATTTTTTATAACTCATGTAGACTTCATACAGCAGCTGTTCACAGAATGAAAAGACATCTGGTCTGAATGAGTTTATAAAGAAATCTTTCTATTATTTATCATTTTAGGTTCGTCTCTTTCGTGTCGTGTGTGTGCGTTGGTGAATATTTCAGTCTGTCACGCTTCATTTATTTATACATGTCAAGTTAGGAGTTGGTATGACTTGTACAAATAATTAGCGTCTGTCACTGAAAGAAGGTAGGCAACAGAGTTGTCAAGTAACTAAGTACAAATACTTTGTTACTGTACTTAAGTAGAAATTTAGGTTATCTTTACTTTACTTGAGTAATTACTTTTTAGCCTACTTTTTACTTCTACTTCTTACATTTTTAAACAAGGTAAGAAGTAGAAAGTCGTTTCTCCGACGTCATTTCGACTCATTGTTAAAAAATACTATCCTGATAAATTGTGTCTCCTGGAAAGAGTAAATTTAATACATAGTTGGATGAGAAGTAAAAACATTTACCATTCTGACACCAAATTGTACACAACCCATCACAGCTGCACACCTTTTAGAAAAAACTTTTTTTTTTTTTTTATTGGAGAGGTCACCTCCCAGTAAATGTCATTTTGGAAAACCTAACCGCTCATTTTTACTAAATACTTTTACTTTTAATACTTGAGTACATTTTATGTCAGAAATTTACTTTTGATACTTAAGTAAAAAAAAATCAGATACTTTTACTCTTGGAGGCGACTTTAACTTTTACCAAAGTGATTTCATAATAAGATACTTGTACTTTTACCCAAGTATCACTTCGAGGTACTTTATACAACACTGGTGGGCAATAATTAGTTTCATGTTTTTATGTTGGTAAAATATCTGTATGTACATCTACAGCTGATGAACCTTTGGGGTTCGTCTAATTTAATTTGGCAGCTACAGCTGCACAATGTCAGAACCTGCGATGTGAGATAATGGTGCTTAATACTGCGATGACGATATGATCTGAGATAAATTATCTCTGCTCCATTTAGTTTATGAGACTGATGCTGGCAAAATGCATCAATGCAAATATTTGAGACAACCATTTATTGCAGTTAACGTAGTTTTTTGCAATAGTGCACAGGCTTTTATTGCTATAACGATAAATTTGTGACATATTGTGCAGCCCTGTTGTCTTCTTCAGCTGATTGATGTCAGCCAACACAGAAATGGCTAAAACAGTTTTTACAGATTTTAGCAAACATTTGATGTGGTAGTAGCTGACAGTCATTAACAACCCTGAGTGTGACCTCTCAAAATATTTTATTATTTTTTTATTTAAATTGGACCAGAGGAACTACAGTTAACACCTGGTTGGTTCAGTACTTTGACAATTCAAGGAGATTCCTCACTTTGTATTTTAATAAGAACTTTCAAACTCCTCAATGAGTAGATGTGTGTAATTATGAGCTTTTTATGGAGTATTTAACTCGTCCAAACCATCACTTACCTCAGAGCAGGTCACGGAATAAAACTTTTTATTTTCCTGCGCATTTATGCAAAACCGTTTTCTATTTTTGTTCCCACAAACATCCTGACCCATTTAGATTTTGTGATAATCCAAAAAGAAAAGATTGTTTTCGATTCTCACAGCAACAACCTGAGTGTCTTAATGTACTCCTTGACAGTACAGCAGCTGGTACGTTTCTGTTTTTAGTGGTTTGTGTGTTTACTTCAGCACCTTTTCCCCCTCAGTGTTGTGGTTTTAGAGCTGAAATCATGTTTCCTGTTTTGTCATCAAATCTTTTTATCTTACCGTCTATATTTCTGAAAATCAGTCAGACTTCACCGCTTTTACATTATCATCAAATATTTGCTTTTTTGTAAATGTATACCTTTTTAAAATATGTATTATAATACTTAATAAAGCAGTTTTTTTTCCTTTAATAAGATAAATTTAATAATTAGCTAAACCAAATGAGATATTTGTCTCAAGGACAAATATTCCTGTAACATTTAGTCAAAAATAGCTGGCTGTAAAGTTGTCATTCATTTTAAATGAGGTTGTTCAAACTCACGGGGGTCCTTTTAATCTTTATTTTAAGGTACAGAGGTAAATACAAAGTTGTCACTTCTAAACTTTGTTTCTTCTTTCATTCATGTCATCGCAAAAAGCAGAAACACGTTGGAATAATGCCAGAAAAGTCTGCGTGTATGGTCGTAATAAATGATTTAATTCTGAGAAACAAACAAACAGGACCCAAATCAGGAAGTTCTGTTGGCTCGTTGCTGACACGTCAGCGGACACAGCCAATAATATACACCATGATAACATCATATGACGTGCTTATAACCAATCACAGATCGCTCATGTACTCTCCAGCCTATCACAGGGCTCCCAGCTCAAAGAGTGTCTTATCAAACAAGAGAGGTCAGTCCGTTGTGGAGTCCTGTTGTCTGGACAAACAGATTAAACATTGAACATGTGACACAGATAGATAATTAGTCCATTACAATTCAAATTTGCAGAATCTGTATTTTTAAACAACCAAGTTTCTATAAATCTCTGCTTGTCTTATAAGAATAGTAAAAACCTCTAAGCGTTCAGCTTTAGTGTCATTTATAATTTCCTCTCAGTCGAGGTTTTTATACCCAGTGGTTCATCTGTAAAATACCAAAGATCAAACGAGACGCTGGTTAGAGCCCTTATGAAATGTTTACAAACTGAACCGAATGCAAGGTGTAATTATATTGAGCTTATATTGTGATTATGTCGAGCTTCATCTGTCTCCTTTTTCACCCTCAGCCACTTTTAGACTCGCGTCCACATGCGGTTATTAAATTGCATGTTGTTGCATTTAGATAGTGGAAGTGATTCTTCCAGCTCCGCTCGGGAGACGTGGGAGTCCTCCTCACAGGGGAGAAAATGCCCTCAGTTCTTGTTGCTTTAAAATAAAATCCACACGTGTTTTCCACCGTTCGAATCGTTCAGATGATCCGTTTAGTCCCTCTCTCCTGTTCTTACTTCTCATCTATCGCTCCTTGGTTCTAGTGGAAATATTTTCCTTTCCTTGCTGAGCACCCCTGAGGAATTTCTGCACTAATGGCATCTTCTCTATGTGAAAGACAAAAATAGCTTCACGTCGAGGGGGGGGGACTTCTGCATGTCGGAGAGTTATCTAAAAGACCCACCCTTTTTTTTTCTCCAGAGGATAAAAACAAACCATGAAGGATTTATTTATTTTAGTAACAGAGTTCACAGAAATTTTAAATATAAAATAGACGAGTTGTGATGTTTTTCCCTCCTATGCATGACCATTAGATGTGATAAATGAAATAATTTTTAATAAAGAAAAGTGTAAAAACAAACTATTTGTGAGGTTTCCAGGCAACTGCTTTTACATCTTTTTTTCTACTTGTTTTTGTGTACGATCTAATTTATTCAATATGATAATGAGGAGCTTTGAAGATGCTTTTCAGCTCTTTTTTTTCTTACCTTCAGAGACGTGTTTGTGCTGCATATTTACCATTCATTCAGGAGAGTCTCTTAAACTTACCCTGGTGTAAATTACACCAAGAAGCCAACCTCAGAAAATCCTTACACCGCTCCTTACATGTGCTCTCAAGTGATTGTATATCTGGAAAATCCCACAAAATATTGCAGGTTTGAATGTAACACGCCAGCCCGAAGTGTTGGCACTGCCCACGTCTGCCACACACCACTTCCAGGCATGAAGTGAGCCATCCTTGGGTCACGTTAACATGGCTGCAGGGGCGTCACGGTGCTTTTACCATCCTCATATTCAGTCTGCCCTTTCAGCCTGGAATCCTCTGAGATGCGATACGTTGGAAAATTGGCATTAAGGCAGGTCGGCGCGTTAACGAGCCGTCTCGTTCCAGCCTCGCATATTGAGTTCACAACAAACAACGGCCCGCTGCCCGACCTCGCAGGTCCAGTTGCGTAAGCACTTTGTCAGCTGTCGACACCGCTGGAACGTTTTCTGTACGTGTGAAATTCATTGTGAGGCTTTGTGTTATTTCTGGCTGAGCCTGATGCTGAGATCTTCCTGTGGCTCATCATTTTCATGGTGTAATGACTGAGCTTTCATATAAATGCTCAGTTAAAAAAAAACTTTATGCCAGACATTTAAAACACTGATGATGCAAACAACTGCTTTTTTATAAAATAAACTGAGACCTAGAGTTTTCTTTAGCTGGTATGTGTTGTAGTTCAGCATGATGATATTGCATCTTTCAATCCTATTAATCAGCAATTACCTTCAAAATAAGACAAAATAACTTAAATATTATTGTAGTTTACCTTCTTTTTTTTTTGAGGAAAGTCATGCACATAACGCCTGATAAACACACGTTTGTTGGTATTCTCTTTTCCCTTTTGTGTTGCATTTCCTGCTCATCCGCTTTTTACTTGTGAAAGCTCCTTCAAAGTGTGTTTGTATTTGTGAGTCTCTGTAGGATCAAATTCTAGTTTCCCCCACTGGCTGAAAGACTCTTATTTTGTCAGAAAGACCAGGAAGTATGTTCTGGAATTGATGCTTCAGTGTTTTTTTTTTTTTTTTAACAAATCTGTGAGGAGTTGATTTTAGACATCTGTTTAATGAAGATTTTCCCTCTTTAGCGCCACCAGCTGTTGTAGAAAGCTGTAAATATTGCTTTAACCCCAGATGTTTTTAATCAAACCAACTAAGTTAGTTTCAGTAAACAGAGCATCATTGTGCAGTTGACAGGTGTAGTTTATGTTTTAGCTCAGGTTAAGTTTGATGAGCAATCAGAGCTGAGAATAACTGCCTCTTGATCGAGCCTTCTTATGTAATAAATCGCATATTTACATGTTGTTTACCTGTTTTTGTTGTTGTTGTTTCAGATGCCCAGTCCACAGAGCAGCATGAACTGTTCACCCAGAAACTCCAGCAGTGCTGCACGCTCTTCGACTTCATCGACTCGGTGGCCGACCTGAAGAGCAAGGAGGTGAAGAGGGCGACCCTCAACGAGCTGGTGGACTATGTTTCCACAAACAGAGGGGTGCTGGTGGAGACTGCATACCCTGAGATCATCAACATGGTGAGGATTAGCTTTAAATGTGCGTCACAAACCTCTTTGATTTTGGAAATAAACTGAGGCGAAACCCAAAGCAACAACTGCAGGAGTCAGAGGATTGCAAAGGATACTTTCATGGACTTCTCAGTGTTTCCATAAATCCTGTGTGTTTCTGCAGGATTAAAAAAATGTTTGATGTGTCAGCAGCGGGTGAGCAACTTGTTGATGTATTATGCGAAACTAGTTTTAGCAAAACAAACTCTTTGTGTTGCCTTTGCACCTCTCGTCCACATAGAAATAACTTTTATTAGCAAGTAAAACTAGAGTTTTACATCTGATTAGACTTTATTTTTTCTATATTATTTAAGATACAAGGCAAATTGAGTTAGAAAATCACACATGACCAGAAACCAACAAGGTGTCGTTTAAATTTCTAAACTGAATGATGTCTACATGCAGATAACAACTGCTGAATGCAGCAAACAGGTTCTGAAATTAGTCTATCGATCGTGCAGGAGTTGTATTACGCAACAGGATGTTTGACAACTCATCCCGCTCCCTCCGCATCATCTTTAGCCAATATGTTGCAGATATGTGTTCATAGCCGGTGCCCTGAGTTGCTGTGCGTCCTCCCACAGTGTAATAATGACTCATGCGCAGCTTTTAAGAGACGGCAGTGATTCACTCCATGCTGGAGATTATCATGCTGGATACAAGTGAGCACATCCTCAGCTGAGTCAAGGAGTCTACAGATTACTAATGGATTGTAGGCAGTAATTCATGCCGTGTTTTGCAGCTATTGATTTAGGATTTAGCTCGGTGTAATAGTCCCTAAGAAGAACCTGACCGTGCACATACCAGCTAAATTAGGAACGACGTTGTTGCACCGAAATGCTATTAAAAAAACTTTTTATTTGCATTGTTTTAATCATAAATCTATTTACAATCAGAGCAGGGAGATGTTCAGATCTTTCTGGTTATAAGCTCTTTGTTTTGCAGACCTTAATGGTTTTTATCTTTAGGTTTTGACATCAACCTGCCAGTGGGGGCTAGAGAAGGAAATTATACGCCTGGCTATAATCTCATGTTTGCATGTAAATGTTCATTAATACATATCGTCCCGTTTAAAAAAAAAAAATCTTGAACTGTAACTTTTGGTTTAAAACGGTGAGTCATTAACAGGCTTCTGCAGAGCTTGATGGAAAGATGTTAATTCCTCAGACCTTGCTCAGACCTGACACTACAAGTCTGCCTTGAGTGGATTGTTTTGATTGAGAGCGTTCACAGCTGTGGTTTAATGCAGGGCTGTTCATATGGTGGCCCACGGGCCACATCTGGCCCACGAGTGACCAAAGTTCGGCCCGCCAATTGTTCCTTCATCTCTTAAGCCCAAACCCTTAGTTTTCTACTTTAATTACTGTAAGTTCTTTTTAGACATAGACATGTTTGGTATCAACAGAAGCATCAGAATCTTGGCCTCAAGCTGGTAAAAACCATTTCTATGAACATCCAAGACAGTTAAAACTACAAGCAGTTGAAAATAAAACTATGAAAGTGAAAATAAAATTAGTTAAAAAATTTGGCAAGTCAGAGATGTCAAAATAATATTAGTGTTTTGGGCATACGTGTTGCTATATGAGGCATAATGTGTTATTTTTGTTTTTTATATACGTTTATTACATAGGGTTCTGTGTGTTGCATTTATGATTAAATGCAGCAAAAAAACTATTTCAAAGGTAACAGATCTTTGTAATACTTGATTTATTTACATAATGATTTTTATTATTCGGACATTAACACAGTTCAGCGCCATTTGAGCCGCATAGTTGTAGAGTTATCTTTTAAAAAGCTTAAGTGTTTAATTAGGTGAATAAAATGCTGCTCGGACTGTTGTACTGTGATTGACAGCACATTATATCTTACAGGGATTATAGTGGGCCCAATCTGCACTAAAACAATCAGAATAAACAAACTAAGTAAAGAGACACTCGCCATGCAGCATCCTGCAATTAACTCTAACTAAATCCAGATATTTGACATTTTATTGAAAAGGACCCTAATACGGTTCATACAAACTTTTAGTTTAGAGGAGTATGTCTTTGTTGTTGTTGTTGTTAATTATTATTATTATTATTATTATTATTATTAATCAGACTTTTTGTTTGGTAGGATTACTATTTGTGTGGGATCAAAGAGTAAGATGACGTTATTCTTTATCAATTAAAAAGAAAGTTTTAAAATAATTTCCAGCTATAGTGTTTTTAAATTACTACGAGAGCTCCACACTAAACTGTGAAAGCGTCACCAGCAGGTTTGTCCCTGAGTTTATGCTGCACAGCCTGTCCTCCTTTTGAACCTAATGTCCGTGTTGGTTTTGACAGATGAAAACAAAAAAATATCTATAAAGAAAGCTCTGCTCAGAGTTGTTTCTGCGCCGCAGACAGCTTCTGAACAAGGTTAGCCGAACAGCAGCGATGCCGTCAGACAGCAGAGGTAATAATTGCTCTCCTGGATCCTACTCGCTTGGCATCACATGACGGGGAGGAGAGAATGGCTTCAGCAGAGCAATGCTTGGATCGTGGAGGTACAAACGGTAGCATCAAATGGTTCTCACAGCTTTAATAACAGCAGAACAGGGCTGCCTGTTAGGTGGATCATGAACTGCTCTCTAATCGATCCCGATTTTTTAAAGCTTTATTGATATTAACATTTAGCAGTATCTAATGTCTGCATTCTCTCACGCCACCCTGATAATTGCACTTATACTGTCCTTAAAAAAACAATAAAAGGAAAATAAAATTTTTATATCAGAGGGTACTTGAGCGGGCATTGGAGAAGTGAGATCATGGCTGCCCTTAAAGATGTGCCGTTATCCTGAAATACTGAGACATATTGGTGTGAGAGTGATTAATGTCGAAATCAGCAAGCTAAGCTAAAAACACACCTGGATTGAATTCATTTGCTTTGACTCATTTTTATTGATTTATTTTTTCCATTGTTCTGCTGCTGGCGACCTCGATTCTTGCACTTCGTTGCACCTTCCTCACTTACAGACTTGTTGCTAGGTGTCCGTTGCCGTCACTCACAAACAAAGCTTCAGATTCTCATCACCGGCGAAGCTCCACCAGTTTCACCTTCAGCTCTGACTCTTAAGAACAGCTTGTTCTAAATCCTCCTACATCACTCTCAAACACAAAATAACTCTTTCCTTTTTCCTCTTGTGAAAATATCTCGCACGCCTCTCATGTTTGCCATCCTCCCACAGTGTTTTCTCTTGTTGTGTCCAACTTTAGTTTGTTTTTTTTTCCCAACACTGTGAAGTGACTAGGGAACTTAAATAACTGCTTCTGATGCCTTTGTGGCAAATTATCCAACCTTCTGTGCTTTTATAGATTTATTATCTCTCCCAGTTATTTTTTGACAAACTATAGTTAGACTCTGGAACATATTCAGTATCATCTTTAATATGATTTTTTTTGCTAGTCTAAACTTAGCATTTGAAGTAAGGAAGTTTATGTTTGGTCAAATATTTCTTTGTTGTAGCAATGCTTCTTCACAATAAGTCGTATTCTGTTAAAAAGCATGTTTATTTCCATTTAAAAGGAGACACATTTGAAAGGAAAATTCATTTGTGGTTTGAGCAGCAGTGTTGAATTATGTCGGTTGTGCACATGAAAAACTTGCCAAATCTTCTCTGCCAAGCAGCTTATTCTGCTGCTGACTCTTGTTTGGTGGAGTGGATGATTGAGGCGTGAAGAAACAAGACATACTGATAATTTTACAATCTACTCATTTAACAGACGGGGGGCGGGGGGCTTCAGTAGAACGTGGAAGAACCATACACAGCCACAACAGCCTGGCACCTCGTGCAGCTTGGTGACACGTTGCTGTAAGGTGGCATCCAAATCTTTAAACTGCATTTGTCGTGAGTCAGCCAACCCGGGCACCCGCTTTGGATGTTATCATCCATTAAATGGACGTTATTAGGCGTTATCAGACCCCTAGAATGGCTTCAGAATGTCCCAACTGCGACTTCTAGCAGGTTCCGCCGTCCATTTAATGTACTGATAACGTCAGAATCCACTGTTTACAGCCACTATCTGATTAATAAGAGGCATAAAAACACTTAAGTTTTTTATGCAATATGGTTAATATGAGGCATAAAGCCACTAAGGTTAATTTTAGAAAAATTGACATGGGCTGCGCAGAAGACTCTGCACTCCGGCAGTAGTAAATTGTGGCCTTCCAGTGTAGGGCTGTGGGCAGAGCGGGAGACCAAGGATCGAGGCCAGGCACGGACAGCAGGAGTAAGGATCAACACCAGGCATGGACCAAATGTTTATTAAAATATGTTTTGGTTATTTACACATTCAATGTCATTGATATATTAACCCACTAGAGGGCACTGTGGGGACAATATGAAGCCTAGAAGGCACAGTAGGGACATTCTGAAGCCATTGAATGGGACTGATAACGCCTAATAACGTCTATTTAATGGACTGATAACATCAGAATCTGCTGACGGTTGTGTTGGTCACTGTGGAATCACACCTAAGCTGATCCCACAGGTGTGCAGTGGGGTCGAAGTTGCCTATCGGGTGCACCAGTAGCTCAAACAAGAATTGAGGGTCCGTTATCCTCCATCCGAAGCCGAACAGTCGATGCACATTGTCACATGGTTGTTCAACGTTCGTTTTTACACAAATCTGTCCCGGTTAAAGCTCCACACTTTCCTGCAGACAGATTTCTCCGTGCTCAACGTCTGTTTATCTCCATCCATGAGTTTCTGGCCATTTGACTGCCTTTTATAAATGTCTGCGTCTGGGTACAACAGTCGGATTCTGGATGCCAGTAGTTGATGCAAAATGCAACATTGTAGCGCTTTCAGCATAAACAAACGCGCCCACAAAATTTTGACCAGTCGCAGTAATTTCTTATGCAGGTGGGAGTGAAAAGTTCTCCCAGCAGTTTGCTACAAGAAGTCGTGTAAGACTCGAAGCTGAGAACCTTAATAGCAGAAGAAGCTGTTTTGCAGAGCTGCTCAACCCACAAATGCTTTTTTTTTCTAACAAATGTGGCACCCTTTAGGGGGAAAACAGACTTTCTGTAGAAGACTTATTGTCAAGAAGCTTTGTTATGATAGAACAAATCAATTAAACACAAATATACTTATTTTCTGTTATTTTTAGATGTCTTAGCTTGTGATTAGAAAAACACTATTTGAGTTTAGCCTTTGATGTGTCTCACAGCAGAAATGAAAGCTTGGTTGTGCAGGAAACAGTCATGTTTTAAAAAAGCTGATTTTCAACAGATCTTTATGTTTAAGTTCCTCGATGATGCTCTACATTTTAACTGCCTGACGATTTATATCTGCAGTGAAGGAAATTATAAATTGCTGACAAAAATGCCCATAAAAACAAGCATTTAGAGCACCTCATTGAGAATACGACAGTTTTCCAACTTTTGTTTTTGGTATTTCAAAGTAATTAATGAATGATTGAAAGCAACATATTCCTGTTTAAAATACATTTACTGCCTAATTTGTGCAAACTAGAATTATTTGTATTAGTTTAATGGCTTTTAGATACCGCAGTAAATGTTAAAATGTGTGACTTCACTGCATCTTTTCCACAAAGTTCCCATTAAAGCAATCAGCCTGAAACTCATCAGATGTAATTACGCTGAATGAACTCTGCAGGGAGTCAACAATTTGTGTTACTGTTGTGTTTAAGAGAAAAATAAAGATGCTCGATGTTTCCAGATGGTGTTTTCATCGACTCAGAAACAGCAGCTCTGGTGCGCTGGACTTCTCTGAAGTAAAAGGAAAGCAACGAGTAATAAAAAGACAGCTCCGTGCAGCTAGCAGCAGTTAGCTGAAGAGCAATTATTATTCCTTTCAGCTAATAATAAAAATCTTTTTCGTCTGCTCATTGTCACAGCAACAGAAACCAAAAATATTTATTTTTAATGTCCATCCCATATTCCAGAACACGTTTGGTCGTTTTATTCCTCGTCTTGAACATATCATGAATGAAGTGTCCTATTGAGTTTTTAAACTCCCTGAGTGCATTGTGATGTTTTTACAAAACTGAAGCAGCTGTGCTTTGAAACAGATGTTGACAGCCTTGGCAGGGAGGCGTTCACACAGTCCTTACAAGGTAGGATTGATGTGGCTTTCTGCTGCGTCTAAATCCTTCAGTTGAGTTTATTGAACAGGAACTGTGTACAAACACATCGCGCTCCTGAGAGAAATATAGTGTCAGATTTAGTTTCAACCTTATTTCCATTTAAAGTCATTAGGTGGAGAAAATATGTACAAACAACTGATACAAATAAAGTCAGCAGTTGTAAGACTTTATACTATTAAATCCTTTTAAAAGATAGTTAAATTCATATAATGATCAAGAATGTATATTATCAAGCTAAGTATTGTAAATGATCTATCAGTGGAAACAACACAGATTGAAAACTTTAGCCCAAACAGAAACCTTTGTTGTTGTTTTAGATATTTCAGCGTGTCAGAATCTGGTTTCCTGTCGAGGTTTAAAATCTCTTTGCCGCCTTCCTCTCCCATTAGTGTCAGCTGGATTTTCCAGCTGCCGATAGTTAATTTGATGCTGCATTTATCACGTCAGCGTGAGGCTGCACATCCAGTTACATAATACTGTCGTTTCCAGCTGCTGGGTGTGTGTTTGTCACTCTCACATTTACCCTGGCTAAAAATAACAAAGCAGGGATGGAGGTGGCACTGACCTGTCTGCGGTGATTGTCTCTGGTGCAGAATTTTAATAAGGTGTGACGGATGCTGAATCTGTAATGCTTTACCAAGATGTTTACGGTTTATGTTGCAGCAACAAATGTCCTCAAAATGCTCCGATAGTCCAGGAAACAGGTTGCTGTTCTTTCCACCTACTAAGCTGCCATTGTTTAGGATTTATTTACAGTTACAGGTGTGGATTATTTACCACATAAATGATTTATGTACTTCAGGTGTCTCACAAACGATAGAAAATGCAGCGTTGTTAAACAGAACAGAGGCTAAAATGAGCAGAGCACAGGCTAAACACAAAGTAACAGAACACTATGAGCTGAAAGCAATAAAGCAGAAACAAAAAGCTAAACGCAGTAGAACCATAACTAGGAGCTAAAAGGTAAAGGACAGCAGCCAAAGTTAGCAAAACTGACTAAAATGGGCAAAATGATATCTAAAATTAGCCAAACAGGTGCTAAAGCTAAAATCATTACAACTATAACTAAAAGCTAAAACTAACAAAACAGAAACTAAAACTAGCAAAACAAATACTAAAGCTAGAGTCAACAAAAGCATTACAAATCTGTAGCTTAACGGAGCAGAAAGCTAGCTAAAAATAGCACGAGACAAAAAAAGAGCAAAACTGCTGATGCACATTAAAAAATGAATTGTAAGAAGTGGAGATTTGGGAATTTTATTTGTACATAAGTTTAATATTTTAAGGAATAAATGTTACAGGCAGAACATGATGTATGAACTAAACAGAAGTAGTTTACACAACTCTAAATAGGGAAACAATGGTCTGAATGCTGACTCAGCATTCCCTTAATTAGCAGTAACTCGCTGTTCTACAGAGTGTGGTTTAATAAACAGTCAGGGAGGGCTGGGTCAGCCGTGTGAGAAGATGTTTGTTCTGCAGGAAACCGTTTGAAAGAATAACAGAAACCCTACTGTTGCTGCAGGCAGGTGTGAAAGCCCCGAAGCAGAATACCTAACTGGTTATGGAGATTAATGCTGCACATAAAAAATAGCCCCTACATATTTTATAAATAAATGGTATTTTAGCACCAATAAAGAGTCCCTCCAACAATATATTAGCTGAAACCTTAAGGTGATGATGAACTGAAGGACGATGCAGCTCATGGGTTCTGTCTGGTCCTTGTTGGATTTTATTTTATTTCGTTCCCTAAAATTCTGCCTTCAAGAAGTTTATCTGATGTTTTTTCTCCACTACTTGTATCATCTTTAAGCAGAAACTGCACAACGTTCTGTCATGGTCAGGTACAAGAACTGGACAGACGTAAGGACCACTTTAAAGACCAGATTCAAAGATTAAAAGAAAATTTGCCTTTTTGGGAGTAAAACAAAAAAAGGTACACATTCGTCATGTAGAGGTCACCCCGAGGGGGAATAAACATTTCCACCTGTCTTTGACCCTGGTCTCAGAAGACCTCCCTCAAAAGAGACATTTTATTTTCTTTAATCAAGACAATAAACAAAATAATAATGTTCTTTATATTTTTTATTTGTATTTTGATTAAAGAAAATAAAATGTCTTGGTCTGACCCCTACAGTCATCATAAACTGACAACAGCCAAAGTAACGATTTATAATATTGGAACAAATTTTCCATCCATGTCTTCTTCCATGTTTGTTCATTTTTGTTTTTAATTTAATTACACTAATTTCTATTTTTTCTTTTATTTTCTTTTACAGATCACTACCAATATTTTTCGGGCTCTTCCTCCAAGTGAAAATCCAGATTTTGACCCAGAAGAAGATGAACCCACTCTTGAAGCTTCTTGGCCTCATATTCAAGTACATTTTGATGCTTCCCGCTGTCTTGTCTCTGCTGGAAATTCTAAATATTTTATATTTATATGCTTATTTATGTTGTTTTGTTTTCCAGCTGGTGTACGAGTTCCTGCTGCGCTTCTTAGAGAATCCTGACTTTCAACCCAGCATTGCGAAGAGACACATTGATCAGAAGTTTGTTCTGCAGGTAGGCAACATTTTATCCAAAAGTTTACCTGTATATCCCCACGGCTCAAACAATCTGCTCTCGCTCGTCCCCATATGTTGGCGTTTAGCTCCCACCTACTGAAGGAATGTTTCACTTCTCGCACAGCAGTCGCTAACAGGCATTATAAGGGCTGGAATGTTGGCCCGGCCGCATCCGAGGTGCCTGCTCCGACTTTCCATGATGCGAGTGAGTCGTTCGGGGAGCTTTAAATAGCTGCCTGTTGTTTGCTCTTTGCTGGGAGAAAAGTCGAGTGTGGCGAGGGTAAAATAAGTTGGAGGTTCAGCTGGTGTTAAAGAAGGGGGTTAAACGATCTTGATGCACAAACGGCGAGGGAGGAGCTCCTCAGAGTTCCCCGCAGAGATGTGTCGAAGCCAAGAGGTGGCCTGAAGACGCTTTTAGAGATGTTAACCAGAAAAATAATCCGGTTAAAGTAAACTTTTGGTTCTTGCTCTACGTGTTTATTGGCTTATTTTTGTTTTTTTGTGTTGGTGCTGGATCGCCTCGTGCTCAGCACAGCTGCTGCAGAAAACAGCAGCATCCTGGGAAAATAACCATATGTGAAACATGTGGTTGGACACGTGATCAGGGTGTGTTTTAGGGCTTTTATTTTTATAATGTAGCTTTAGTTTGTGTGTTGCCTTGTGAGATTTCACGGTATAGTTATTTTAAAGTAAAAATCCACATTTGAATCACTACTATTTTAATATGTTTACCCTCTCACGTTTATTATGTATTTTGTTGAAGATTGAATAAAAAAATCTACTGGAAGCCTCTTTTGGACGTGTACATACTGTGATGCTAACATTAGATATCATATAATTTGTTGTTCTTGAATGATTTGATGTTCTTGTTTTTAACTGAAGATTATTGTTGTTTAAATTTATACTTGAGGAAAAAGGGGGCAGATATTATAAGATTTTGTTCTTCTCTCTGCTTCCCTTCATTTCGTTGTTTGTATTTTTTATTTTTATTGTGTATAAAATTTTGTTTTTTAATGAATTGAATACATTTATGAATGAATGAATGAAGAATTATATCAAATACATAACCTATATGAGTATTTCATTATATCAAAATGTTCATAAATGGGAATAAATTGTCAAACTTTTTATAGTCTGACAGTACAGTGTAAAGTTAATTATAATGTAGAAATAATTATCCAATCTTTAAAAATATAGTGATTTTTTTTTTTTGCTTTTTAACAGAGTACTCCTTTTTTTCTTTGATTTTTTTTACAGCAAAAAAAAGTTTTCTACAAATTAAAAACGGGTAGACGTACATATATGTAAAAGTTCTTATCCACTTCACATGACTGATGCTACTTCAGCCTCAGATTAGTGAACCTATCAGTGTTGAGACACTTAAGTTATTTTTTTATTCAAATTAAAATATGTAAAAAATTAGTTTTGGTCAGTCTCTGAAATATTTGTGACCATGTTTGGGACGTTTCACTGCACCGCTAACAAAAGCACAGAAATGTTAAAGCTGCAGTTTAAACTCAACCTCCAGAGTCAGGAGGAGGTTCAGACACAAAAATAATGCTGCTCCCACCAAGTCATTGCATCAGTACAAGTTATTAGACCAGGTTTGTTTAATCTTCTACACCTTCAAACTAAACCATAAATAAAGATTAGTTACATAGAACCACATGAACACGTTTGTTTATTAATGTCTCTTTAGGGCTTTGGCACAAAGTGAGCCTTGCTGACGTGATGACTTTGCTGTACATCGATCCAGCTGCTGGGAGGACTGGAGTCCTGATGTGACCCGCTGTGATTGAATATTGATGTTACCTCGGGCACAACCAGTTTGTTTGTATCAAACTGTGGCTGCTTTCATTTCATAAGAGAGACAGAGCCGGTGTTCATATCCCGTTTCAGTGTCATCGACCTTCTCAGCTCCTGTGTCGATCAGACTATTTATGTAACTCTGAAAGCTAATTACACAGAACCACCAAACGCTGTTGTTCACGATTTATACATGAGTTAATTTTATATTAATCCACATCATAAGAGACGATGTATTTATCACAGTAAAATGGTTCCTGAAATGCTCAATGCTAGGGCTGTGTATTGGCAAGAATTTGGCGATACGATACATATCATTACAGAGGGGTCACGATACGATATATCCCGATATATTGTGATACTGTAAACAAGTCAATATATTGCGATATATTGTGATTTTTTTGTCCAAAAATTCTATTAAATAAAAACCTCTTACTGAAAAAAAAGAAGAAATGCTAATGTTTACTTACAATGCTAATGCTACCCTTACTCTCTGGCGCTCAAGAGGTAGAGTAGCCAAATGGCTGGCTCACWGCTGCCAACTAGTAGTCAGAGGCTGAACTACAACATAAAAATGAACGGTTGGCAAGAAGGTTGACATTTTATACCTTAATTAAAAATCGATACAGGGCTTTAGAATATAGATACAGTATCGGGAAATGAAATATCGCGATATTTCAGTGTATCGATATTTTCTTACACCCCTACTCAATGCCTGGTTCGCATGACAAGACTTTTTAAAGTTAATGTGACAGACGATGTGTGACGATAAAAAAAATCATAGGTATAACAGGTTTGGTCGGCAAAGACAACACGCCACACGAACAGATTTCACTAACAGACACTCAGACGTCCGACAGGAAATCTAGCAAAGCTTCCCCTCTGTATTTCTGTCACCTCGCTTTTTGATTGGCTACATTCAACAGGCTGTTAGCAACATGTCCTGTCGATTTGTGATCGAAGCAGTTCCAACATCCTTCCGAGCCGACTAGATCCAAGATTATCTTTAGAGCCTATCTTTAGAAATAATCGGGGCATCCTGAGATTGTCAACAGGGCAAAATGGGGTCAAAAATCTGCACAATTATCCAGTGGCTAAAATTCAGTCCTACATATTACTTTACATAAGGAACATCCTGGTCAAGTTTCTGAGCTCTGAGTCTTTTAAAGGGAACGGAAATAAACTGGAACATGTTGCAAACTCTCTGATGATCTTGTGCAAACTTCCAGTTTCATTATACTCCCTTGCAGCACGAGTGAAGATTCTTTGCAGCGTAAAACGTTGCAGGTCAGCCTTAATGCATCGTTTAAATCAGCAGAAAGGCTTCGTAATGAAAGCCTGTTTTTGAGTACACGGAATTAAAAATAGAAAACAGCCTTGTCACCAAGGTGCTCATAACGTGCAAATAAAAGATGAGCAGCGGAGCACTTCTGGTAAACTCTGTGACACTGGCTCTACTGCCTTCAACCATATTGTAATGGTGAGTCATCACATGTTACCACAAATAGCTGCTCTGTACCAGAGGGGAGGTTTTCAAAGCTGTTTACATTACTGAGTATTCAGACACACAGGCTGTGAGGATGGTACAAAGGGTGGAAGTAACTGGTAAACAGTAGGTTTGGTTATTTGTACATGTTGGCACAAACACTTCCTTACATCTGGCACAGCATAATAAAGTCTCAGAAGTTTTCTTTTTGACAGCAAATAACACACACATACACACATTTTATGCTTTTGGCTTCGGTTGTTAATAAAGCTATGTGAACCCACTGTATGCCTCCCACTCGGCACCAAACTATAGACATTTTTATGTGAACGTGGAGGTATACCCTTTATGATTGTGGTAATTCATAACATCTGGATCAGTAAAAAACTTACAAGTTCAGTTTGTCTCAGTTTGCCTTCCTCTGTCTGTTACTTCTCAGTACTGAGAAAACTGCAGGTACTCTGCCAATGACATAAAGGCTAACTCGAAGCTGAAAGTAACAAAAGGCTAGATGGAATCTAAAACTAGGAAAATGCTATCTTGAATCTAAAAGTTGCAAAACACTTGGTAAAAGTAGCAAAAGTCAAACTAGAAGCTAAAATATGCATAACACTAGCTAAAAGACAAAAAACAAAACAAGCCAAAGGCAACAAAATTCTAGATACTAGCTAAAACGGCAAAACACTAGCAAGGTAATTGATAAAAAGTAGCAAAAGGCTAGATTAGAAGCTAAAACTAGGAAAATGCTATCTTGAATCTAAAAGTTGCAAAAACACGAGCTAAAAACAAACAAGAAAAGCCAAAGGCAACAAAATTCTAGATACAAGTAGCAAAACTAGCTAAAACAGCGAAACACTACCATAGCAATTGATAAAAAGTAGCAAATGGCTAAATAGAAGCTAAAACTAGGAAAATGCTATCTAGAATCTAAAAGTTGCAAAACACTTGGTAAAAGTAGCAAAAGTCGAGCTAGAAGCTAAAATATCCATAACACTAGCTAAAAGACAAAAAAAAAAAAACCAGCCAAAAGCTACAAAATTCTAGATACTAGCTAAAACGGCGAAACACCTGCAAGGTAGTTGATAAAAAAGTAGCAAAAGGCTAGATTAGAAGCTAAAACTAGGAACGTGCTATCTAGAATCCAAAAGTTGCAAAACACTTGGTAAAAGTAGCAAAGCAATAGGTAAAAGCCTAAAGTAGCAAAAGTCTAGGTAGATCCTAAAGTAGCAAAACGCTATATATAAGCTCAAATTAGAAAAATGCTAACTAGGTAATGGATGAAAATGCTAAGTAGAAGCTAAAAAAGCAAAAGTCTATCCTGAAGCTAAGCTAAAATGCTGGGTAAAGGTATAATTGTAGCGACAAAACAAGAAAAGCCAAAGAAGAGAACATGAAAGTACAAAAACCTAAAGTTGAAGCAGCCACCTCCTGGATGAGCTGAATCTTTTGATTTATGAATGTTTAAAACTGCACAAAGAACACGACTCACACGTGTAATCTCAGCAGTGTGACTAATGAGGCTTTGCCAAGTTCCTCTTCTGTTCTATATAAAATAAAGACACGCCATCAATAGAAGTAATCATATAAACTGACTCAGTAAAAGGAGCTTTGAGTCATAAAGTGACAGATCTGACCCTCAAATGATGTTATAACAGCCTGGTTTTAACTCAACAGGTGACTGATGTTCTTCGTATCTCTTATTGCGACAACATTTCTTACTGTTGTTTGATGAAATATTAAATTGTAGTACTGAATCATTTCTGAGCTGGAAGCTGCTGAGGATTGACGTCTGTTTGGTCTTCATCCGTGCAGCTGCTGGAGCTGTTTGACAGCGAGGACCCGAGGGAGCGGGACTTCCTGAAGACTATCCTGCATCGGATTTATGGAAAATTCCTGGGCCTGCGAGCCTTCATCAGGAAGCAGATCAACAACATCTTTTTAAGGTGAGTTATTCATCCGCAGGCAGGAATTATGTTTGAAGGTCCATCTTCTGAAAGTGTAAACAAAACAAAAAGAGTTTGGAACCAAAATTAAAAAGGACATTTAAAATCAGGTTGTGCTGTTTGAAGAAACGTGGTGTTTCAACTACAACAGATTTAGAGAAAACTAGAGAAACGTTGTGTTAATTCTGACATAGCTTCACTAAAATATGTTGAAACTGAGTTGTTAAAGTTAAAAATGTAAAACAATAGCTGAAAGGAGCAGAAGGTTACCTACACAAAGCAGTGGAAGCGGCTCTGGCTGTCATCAAAATGAAAGATGTCTAGAGACTTATGATTTACACATTGATCACAGAAACTCTGTGCACACGTACATCCCAATGACGATGCACAAACAATATATCGTGCAGCCGAAATCGCGATAAATATTGATATTGAATTATTGTCCAGCACTAAGTAGGGGTGTAAAAAATACTGATACACTGAAATATTGTGATATTTCATTTTCTGATACTGTATCGATTCTCTAAAACCCCGTATCAATTTTTAATCAATGTAAACTTTTCTGCCAACAATTAATTTTTATGTTGTAGTTTAGCCTCCGGCCACTAGTTGGCAGCAGTCAGGCACCACTTTGCTCCTCCACTCCTGATCTAAAACGTACTGAGTTTTTAAAAATATTTAATCTTTGGACAAAAAATGATAATATATCACCTTGCTTACAAAATGACAATATATCGCGATTCATGCCAAACATTTTCCCTAAAACTAACCATTACTAGACCTCACTTTGATAGTAACTATGGTCCTCACACTGTAGAAGAAACCACACACAGACGCAGGCATGTAATAATTAAATTAGGCAATAATTAAATCCTCATTTGAACCAGTGACTAAACTTGTTTCTGTTTTGACGGGATTAGAAAACCATGCAGTTGTGTTATTAAATATTGCAGTGATGATATCAGTTGTGATTAACCAACATTTTCCCCACTTTTTTCTTCTCTTCTGTCATGATGCATAAAAGCTTGTCACTGAACATATACTGTATTAATCTGTTTATTACAGCCAATCTGTTTAATACAAACACCAAATAAGACTTTTCTTTAAATCAGGATGTTTATGAATGTTTATTTTTGGGTCAAACACACATCAGGTAACAGCTCCAACATGTCCGCTGCTTCATTGATGAAAGAGTTTTATCCGCTGTGTCGGCTGATTTCGTGGAATCGTTTCTGAAAATCCTTTTTTAATCAAATATGCTTTGATTTTGTCCCCTGGCAGCAGAAAACGCATGACCACAAGTGCATTAGTAAACCACGTTTGTGAGCTTTGGACCAAACTGAGTCACACAGGAAAACATAAATAAAGGATCAAGGTTTTCAAATCAAATAGTTTGTGATTTACTTTTATCAGACAGCTGTTGAACATTGAGTGTAGTTTTTAGTTTTCATGTCTTTCTTTCTGCCTGATGGCTGTTATTGATTTAAAATGAAGTTTTATTTGTTGCACTTTGCAATCATCTAACAGCTGTTTGGTTTCATGTTAAAAACGCTCCTTTGCTCTGAGCGCTGATGCGTTGCGGCTTTACAGCTCCTGTTGCTGCGTGACGGCGAGCTTCGGATGATCGAGGCGGGGAACGCTCCACGTCGTTTCCGACCGTCCGGGCGCCCCCCGCTCTGGCCATCTGCCACTGAGGTTAAAAATAGCGCCCCGGTTGTCAGGCTCCGTCCACACGTAGCTGCGTTTCTCAGTGAGACGGAGGCGAATCGTTGATGTCGTTAAAATAAACGGCGAATTATAAAATGAGGTCAAATATAAACATTTTAAACAAACACATTAATCTGACTCAGGTTTACTGAGTGTCTCTACTTTTTGAGTTGTTGCACGTCTGATTATTCCTGTCCTCTTTCTGCAGGTTCATCTATGAAACCGAACATTTTAACGGTGTCGGTGAACTGCTGGAAATTCTGGGAAGGTGAGTAATAAACTAAAAAAGATTGTTTATAAACTGATTATTAATGAACCTGCAGACATTACTTTAACTTTATGACAACAAGTGTTCAGTGGTTCCCAACCTGTTTTCCTCAAAGCCCACCTTCCTTACTTCCAAGCCAACTTTTATCTCTTTATCTAAATAATAAAGTGAATCGTTTTATTTTATGCTTTTATTTTGAAAAGACAAAAAAAAGAAGAGTTTTAATAGTCAAATGAACTTGTTTTAATAAATCAATAAATTGATATTTTCACAACTTGTGAGCAGACAAGATTATAATCCCACCCCTCATCTCTGGCACGAGGCCCCCCAGGTTAGGAACCTCTGCCTTAGAGGGTGAAAACTCACCATCTTATATAACTGCTTCAAAATAAACTACGGTAATCAATCTAATAGAGCTATGTCTGTATAAAATAAAAATATTTCATGTAAACGTCTTTTTTTAAGCTTTTTTACTATTTTTTTGTTAAAAAAACAATTCAGTGTTTCTTAAAAATAACAAACAAAACAAGGCTTCTGCAGCTTTTAGCCTCTGTAACATGAGGAGTTCATGCTTTCCTGTGTTTGTTGGTAAATAAAATGATTTTGTGTGTAAGTTGTTGACTGTAAAACGCTTCATGATGACATCGTATATTATAATAAATGATTGTAATTTAATCAAGCTTGGATTAATCAGATTTTTTTTAAGTTTAAATAAAAACTGAGCAAACTTTGGGTTATCAAATGTCCTGATGTTTGAGATTTTAACCAATTCTTTTTGTTTGTTTGTTTGTTGACAGCATCATCAATGGGTTTGCGTTGCCTCTGAAAGCAGAGCACAAGCAGTTCCTGATGAAGGTGCTCATCCCCCTACACACAGCTAAAGGACTGGCTCTTTTCCACGCACAGGTAGAAGAAATGGATCAGACCCGACTTGCGGCTTTGTGTTTCTGCTCACAGCAGCTCTTTGTTTGTTTGTTTCTTTGTTTGTTTGTTTGTTTCTCAGCTACTGAACTTTAGCACCCTCTGGTGGTTTGATCATGAAAGGTCTGACTTTTGTTCTCTCGCCCTTCTGGGATGCTTTTAGCTGGCTTACTGTGTGGTCCAGTTCCTGGAGAAAGACCCCACTCTGACAGAGCCGGTACTTTTTCTTGTTTATTATTTATTTTTTAACATTTTTCACTTCATTAGAAAGGAGAAACTTCTCGTTTTAAACTGACGGGTGTTTTTGTCTGCAGGTGATCCGCGGCCTGTTGAAGTTTTGGCCGAAAACCTGCAGCCAGAAGGAGGTGCTGTCCAGATGTCTTTGCTTTGCGTCAGCTCGTGAGCACATCTGCAGCTTTTTAACCCTTACCTCTCCCGTTGTTCTCTCTCAGGTGATGTTTCTGGGGGAAATCGAGGAGATCCTGGACGTCATCGAACCGACACAGTTCAAAAAGATCCAGGAGCCGCTGTTTAAACAGATCAGTAAATGTGTGTCTAACCCACATTTTCAGGTAGGATTCTAGTTTTTCAAGTCTTTAAACTTATTTTAGATGTAAAGTAATATAAATGATGGCCTAAAGTACAGCATTATTTGCTTTTTGATGTGTTTGTTTAGGTTACATATTAATGTGTTAGTTCAAGTTTATTTCAAACGTGTAAAAAATAACTAGATAAATTATTTATTCCGTTTTCCAAAGCTCACTAAAATAAAAAAATCTTTTGTTTTTATATTTTAAATCACACAACAATCAGTTTACCAACTGAATTATATAACAATTACACAAAACATTGATTATATTACTTCTCTAAACGTATTTGTCTGTGTTTACATCCTGAACCTGAATAAGTCCAGTTCCCTGTTAGCGCTCCTGGCTTGTTTTAGGCGGTAACAGCGGTACTTCCTGTCTGTACGCGTAGGTAGCAGAACGTTCGCTCTACCTGTGGAACAATGAGTACATCCTCAGCCTCATCGAGGAGAACATCGACAAGATCCTCCCCATCATGTTCGGCAGCCTCTACAAAATCTCCAAGGAGCACTGGAACCAGTAGGTGCCCCGACTGCCGAGGGTTTCTGTTAGCCAAATATCTCCTAACAGAGAGGTTCAGATCAGGAAGTAAACAAAGATGAGCTTTATGTTTACGTTTGATTTCACTTGTACAAATTATTTGTTGTCAAAGACTTTATGAAGAACTTAAACGTTCTGCTGTAATTGTGTGTGTGTGTGTGTGTGTGTGTGTGTGTGTGTGTGTGTGTGTGTGTGTGTGTGTG